GTTTGTGTTTTACGTCCTATTAACATCTATCTTCATTAAGGACATGCCAGGTTTTGGCGGTGGTTTGGTTTGGTTTGTTTGTGTTTTATGTCCTATTAACATCTATCTTCATTAAGGACGTGCCAGGTTTTGGTGGTGGTTTGGTTTGTTTGTGTTTTACGTCCTATTAACATCTTTCCTCATTAAGGACGTGCCAGGTTTTGGTGGTGGTTTGGTTTGGTTTGTTTGTTTGTGTTTTACGTCCTATTAACATCTTTCCTCATTAAGGACATGCCAGGTTTTGGCGGTGGTTTGGTTTGGTTTGTTTGTGTTTTATGTCCTATTAACATCTATCTTCATTAAGGATGTGCCAGGTTTTGGCGGTGGTTTGGTTTGGTTTGTTTGTGTTTTACGTCCTATTAACAGCTATCTTCATTAAGGACATGCCAGGTTTTGGCGGTGGTTTGGTTTGGTTTGTGTTTTACGTCCTATTAACATCTTTCTTTATTAAGGACGTGCCAGGTTTTGGCGGTGGTTTGGTTTGGTTTGTGTTTTACGTCCTATTAACATCTATCTTCATTAAGGACGTGCCAGGTTTTGGCGTTGGTTTGGTTTGGTTTGTTTGTGTTTTACGTCCTATTAACATCTATCTTCATTAAGGACATGCCAGGTTTTGGTGTTGGACCAAAGCCAGAGTACCCGAAAAAACAACACTGATCTTTGGCCAGACCTGGCGACTGCCTGATTTAGACCTCAAACAAAACTATTTCTGTTCCCTAGTTTTGCATACATTTATCAGCTTTGAGCTTCACGTCGTTTAAACGGTCAAACCAGTCAGACTACAGTTGTTCGTTTATTAAATAAGGTCGGACCTAGTAATCTGATGCTGCTTTCAGACGAGCCTTGACAAAGCCTTGCAAGGCCTGCATAAACATTTGCAGGTACACCAGGATTTATACCAGAAATTGTTACATTTATAAACGGTAAAACTGGTTGTTCCGCATAAACGAACAGGCCCCATATCTTGCAGGACTTTTAAAAATGAGAAACAATGAAGATGAAATCAAGAAATGTAATCAATAAAAGTGTTTTGAGTGGAAGGTTCAGCAGGGCCAGACTGGGATTGGGACCCTGGACCTCAGATTGTATATCACTGTAGCCAATTGTGCTATCTGGTTAATGTTAGTGTTATTGACCAACTTTTTCTACAGTCATATCCAAACAGAAGTTAAGGGGAGGTAACTGTATATAGGAAAAACGACAGTGCAGGGGGCCTTAACAGGTCAAATGGTATGGAATTTTAATCAAAAGCTTCCACAAGATACACTTACAGATGACAAGCCTATCAATCCTTTCGATAAAAGAAGAGAAAAGATTAAAACATATTTTATTGACACTGAATACTCAAAGGGATTGGGCACAAGGTATTACAACTTACTAGGCCCTCTCCCAAAGAGAGAAAATACCACATGTACAATGAAGATTTAATGATAGTGAGTGCAAAGATTTTTCAGGGATCTCTTAAAATTCATTGTTCAAATTGACTTTTATTTTCTACGTCATCATTACGTACCTCAATCGCAGGCATGTACATGAATTAAGGTTATAGGGTTCATAAGGCGATATGTTGAAGCTGTTTCAATCAGTACAGAAAACACAATCAGGAAACTATTTTCCACTATACAGGTATCTATACATGGCTACATCAGTCAATGGAGCAATCAAGGTGTTCAAGAGACAGCTAAAGGCAGGACAGCTCACGTTTTTACAGGTAAGATATTTACAGGTGTACATCATATATACCAATACCTTCACTGACCCCTGTCTCTAAAATATTATTCAGAAAAAGATTTAGACTGTAATAATTTTGATCACTTGGATGTCTGATTCCAGGGGGAGATAAGCTAGAAACAAAATAAAACCTTTTGGGGTTGGTAGCCAGTCTAACTAATACTGTGTGTCATATTTTTACAGTACAGAGTGTTAAAAACTTGCTTGATTTCCGACTTAAACAGTCAATTATATTATTCGTTCTGTGAACTTAATATCCAGAGTTTCTCAGCTTTCACCTGATATATTTGGGTTGATTTGAAATTGTAGATGGCCATTCTTGTCTTTGAAGGGCAGAAACTGTTTGCACTGATTCTCAAGGTCCACTCTATGTAAGCCACACTGATTGACTGTTGCTCTCATTGCCTTATCCAAGTGTTGGTATTGTAAACAAATAGGCCAATGGGACAATTAAAAAAAGTGTACCTGATAAAAGCTCCATCTGGCTTAGTGTTAGAAAAAATGAGGTCTTTTTGTAGGTACAGCATAGATTTTGATTAGAGTATTCCTTATATATTAGCTCAACTGACCCGAAAGGCCATGTGAGCTTATGCCGTACTGCGTCGTCTGTCTGTCATCCGTCCTCCGTCCATTAACTTGTTCTTTTAAACGACTTCTGAAGAAGAACTGTAGGACCTAGGGTCATGATATTTGGCCAATAGGTACCTGGGATGGAGTGCTATAAGTTTCCTCATTAAAATGACATTGACCTACTTTCAAGGTTACTCGGGTCAAATATGTTAAAAATTTCGAACAACAATATCCTAAAATCATTTGGACTAGAGTCATGATACTTGGGTATGTTATGTAGACCAGCAGTGCGAATATGTTTTTCAATTACAGTAATGAGGTCAAATGTCAACTTTAAATGCTAGTCGGGGGTCAAATGTCAACATGGGTTAAAAGCTTTAACAATCTTCTTCTTTGGTTCCATAAGGCCCAGGGTCATGAAATTTGGCTAGTAGGTACCTGGGATGAAGTGCTATAACGTTAACTTATTAAAATGACATTGACCTACTTTCAAGGTGACAGGGGTCAAATATATTAAAAACTTCAAACAACAATATCCTAAGAAACATTTGGACTAGAGTCATAATACTTAGGTATGTTATGTAATCCAGCTGTGTGAATTGTTTTCTTTATTACAGTTATGAGGTCAAAGGTCAAATTTAAGTGCAAGTCGGGAGTCAAATGTCAATGTGGGTTAAAAGCTTTAAAATTAAAATTTTAAGTTTCAAACAACAATATCTTTAGAACCGTTTAAGAGATGTTAAAATGTCTTGTGTTCTAGTTACCAAATTTGGTCTCAAGTTACCTATATGTCAGTTTCATGTAACAAAAGAAACAGATGAGCGATACAGGCCCTCTGGGCCTCTTGTTTTATTTGTGATTGGGTAGCATACCCGGTAGTAACTTTGTTCTTTTGTGATTGGACAGGAAGTAAAGTTGTACACATCTCCCGATAATCCGACTATAAACCCCCTCACTGGACATCTACTGGTCGGGGCCCAGCCAATCCTCCATACAACCTCTCAAACGATGGAGGACCCAAGTAAACCCAGTGCATCTCAGGTATGTAAAAATATCCTCACCTGATCATTTGTTATCTACTTGGTACAAACTCAGCTGATCATTACTAACATCAATTACTGTAAATGTGAAGTATGAAACGAAATGTTGCAAGAAGAAAAATCCAAGGAATACATTTTGAAGTGACCAATTCCATGATAAATCAAAAGGAAAGCTCAAGAAATATGTTTAGTGTGAATACGTCTATTTATTTGTAATTAATGATGAAAATAGCTCCTTTCTTACTGTTTTACATAGTAAAACAAAGTTCAGATTACCTTTTGTTGGAAATATCCTATACTCTTTATATCAACTGTGTTTTGAATTTACATGTATTTATAATCTCCCCTGGCAGTGTACCTGTGAGCTTATAAGGTACATGTATTTATAATCTCCCCTTGCAGTGTACCTGTGAGCTTATAAGGTACATGTATTTATAATCTCCCCTTGCAGTGTACCTGTGACCTTATAAGGTACATGTATTTATAATCTCCCCTGGAAGTGTACCTGTGAGCATATAAAGGTACATGTATTTATAATCTCCCCTGGCAGTGTACCTGTGAGCTTATAAGGTACATTTTGCAGTGTCTGTCGCTCATTTGTTTTTACCTCACCTAACCCGAAGGGCCATGTGAGGCATTGTGAGCTTATGCCCTACTCCGGTGTCCGTCATCCGTCCGTCCTTCTATTGTCTGTCCGTCAATTTTTAGGTCACCTGAGACAAAGTCTCAAGTGCCCTATTGTGATCGCCTTTTATCCGTCGTTGTCCGTCGTCTGTCGTCCGTCGTGCGTCCGTAAACAATTTACATTTTCGACTTCTTCTCCAAAACCCCGAACCAATTTCAATGAAATTTAACAGAAACCTTCCATGGCCAAAGGTCAACGAAAACAGTTGCCGGTTTAGTCCCAAGCCCTCAGGGGCCTGAGGGACAGGGCCAAAAAGGGTCAAATTGACTAAAATTTCAAAAATCTTCTTCTCCAAAACCCTGAACAAATTTCAATGAAATTTTGCAGGGACCTTCCATGGACAATGTTTAACAAAAATAGTGGCGTGTTTAGTCCCAAGCCCCCAGGGGCCTGAGGGGCGGGGCCAAAAAGGGTCAAATTGACTAAAATTTCAAAAAACATTTACTCAAGACCCAGATATGGTAGAATCAAATACTCTTCATATATGGAAGGGTCTTAAGGTGCTTTACCAAAATTGTGAATTTCTTGACCCTGGGGTCTCAGGTTTCCCCCTGGGGAGGGGGTAAACTTTACTATAGTTTATATAGGGAAAATCTCATTTTGGACCAACATTTGTTTAATTTCTATTGGAAGTAATTCAATTTGGGTAAGCATTATCAGTATTAGGTAGCAGTTTAATAGTATGCACATATGAGCCCTGACTGACCCCCAGGGGGGGTTGATGGATGGGGCAAAAAAGGGTTGAATTGACTGAAATTTCAAAAATCTTCTTCTCAAGACCCAGATATGGTAGAATCAAATGCTCTTCATAGATGGAAGAGTCATAAGGTGCTTTACCGAAATTGTGAATTTCATGACCCTGGGGTCTCACGTTTCCCCCTGGGGAGGGGGTAAACTTTACTATAGTTTATATAGGGAAATCACATTTTGGACCAACGTTTGTTTAATTTCCATTGGAAGTAATTCAATTTGGGTAAGCATTATCAGTATTAGGTAGCAGTTTGATAATAAGCACATATGAGCCCTGACTGACCCCCAGGGGCTGATGGGTGGGGCCATAAAGGGTCGAATTTACTGAAATTTCAAAAATCTCCTTCTCAAGTCCCAGATATGGTAGAATTAAATACTCTTCATAGATGGAAGGGTCTTAAGGTTTATGACCCTAGGGTCTCACATTTATCCCCTGGGGAAGGAGGGGGGGGGGGCCAAAATTTTTATCGTTTATAATGGCAAATGAATTATTACTTTGAATATTACATGTTAATAACTTGATTTGAATTATAACCTTGAGTTGACAGTTTGATACTTTGAAAATTTTGAGCCAGCCCTACCCCCAAGGGCTGTAGGGTGGGGCTCAAAGGAGTCAGTGTGCTAAAATTTCTTCATTTTCCTTGTTTAGAATCAGAGGTGCTAGTTTCAAATACTTTTTAGTCTGAAATCTGTATGCTAGATATTGAATAAGGTGGTTTTATTGTTTTTTATCACTTTGAATAATATTTCTGTTCATGTTAAAAACAAAATCAACTCTCTGTATAAATATATCAGGTGAACGTTAAGGCCCATGGGCCTCTTGTTTTCTTTTGAACCATTTTTTTCTGAAGAACTGGAGTACCAAGGGTCATGATATTTGGCTACTAGCTACCTGGGATGGAGTGCTATAAAGTGTCCTCATTAAAATGACCTTGACCTACTTTCATTTGGACTAGAGTCATGATACTTAGGTATGTTATGTAGACCAGCTGTGCAAATCTTATTTTTCTTAATTACAATAATAAGGTCAAAGGTCAACTTTAAGTGCTAGCCGGAATCAAATGTCTATGTGGGTTAAAAGCTTTAAAATCAAAATTTCAATTAACAATATCTTAAGAACCGTTTAAGAGATGCTATAATGTCTTGTGTTCTAGTTACCAAATTTGGTCTGAAGTTACCTATATGTCAGTTTCATGTAACAAAAGAAACAGGTGAGCGATACAGGCCTTCTGGGTATCTTGTTCCTTTGAAGAACTTCATGAAAACTGAGAGTCCCATGATCCTAATATTTCACCGGTAGATACATAGGGTTGAGTGTTATAAACCGTCCTCATGTAATTGACGTTGGCCTACTTTGAAGGTCATAGGTCAAATATGTACACACAAAAAAATTCAAACAAAAGTATCTGAAGTATTGTAACATATGGTCTAGACCCATGATACTTGGGTACCCTATGTAGACCAGAAGTATTAACATTTGTCTTGCATCGTCCTTGGACTAATATAACTTGGGAATAATTTAGATCCCTATCTCATAACCATTTATATGTTTGCTGGGCATAAAGAAAAGAACACAAACATGCTTACTAGTTGACCCTTTGACCTCTTTATTAATTCTCATAAAACAGGCTGCATGACTAACTGCCCTATCAATTATTACTTTTCTGCAAGATTATTGAGGAAAATTTCATAATGCTTAATTAATACCCTTTAAAAAAGCTCACAACTTACATGAATAGTTGTTTTGGTATGAATGATAGAGGAATTAACAATATCTTAAGAACCGTTTAAGAGATGCTATAATGTCTTGTGTTCTAGTTACCAAATTTGGTCTGAAGTTACCTATATGTCAGTTTCATGTAACAAAAGAAACAGGTGAGCGATACAGGCCTTCTGGGTATCTTGTTCCTTTGAAGAACTTCATGAAAACTGAGAGTCCCATGATCCTAATATTTCACCGGTAGATACATAGGGTTGAGTGTTATAAACCGTCCTCATGTAATTGACGTTGGCCTACTTTGAAGGTCATAGGTCAAATATGTACACACAAAAAAATTCAAACAAAAGTATCTGAAGTATTGTAACATATGGTCTAGACCCATGATACTTGGGTACCCTATGTAGACCAGAAGTATTAACATTTGTCTTGCATCATCCTTGGACTAATATAACTTGGGAATAATTTAGATCCCTATCTCATAACCATTTATATGTTTGCTGGGCATAAAGAAAAGAACACAAACATGCTTACTAGTTGACCCTTTGACCTCTTTATTAATTCTCATAAAACGGGCTGCATGACTAACTGCCCTATCAATTATTACTTTTCTGCAAGATTATTGAGGAAAATTTCATAATGCTTAATTAATACCCTTTAAAAAAGCTCACAACTTACATGAATAGTTGTTTTGGTATGAATGATAGAGGAATTATACTTTTTTACCTGAACGATCCCTGTCCCTCCAACTTAAAATGTAATGAGGCATCGGTGGTTTTTTTTCTACAGCATCGCTATTGCATAAGCAATTCTTTTCTGAACAATAATCCATACCTTGCAGGAGTTTTTTCAGATTTTTTGGAAAATTATGAAATTTCGATTTTAAAAAACCCAAAAAACAATTGAACAAAATGTATATTAACAATAATACTAAAACAAACAAAAATGCCTATTACATGAATCAATAAAATTCCGAGTGCCAATGCAACACGTTTAGGACAACGAAAAGAAAATATAGGTGAAAAAAAATATATCTTGAGGACTTACTTATTATACAAAAAATTATAAAGATACAAAAAAACTAAACAAAAAAGAGAGACAACTCTTACATTTGTACCAATAATAATTCTAAATCCCCAAAAAGTCAAGATATGTCAGAGTAGCTGACCCCATTAATAATAATTCTAAATCCCAAATAGTCAAGATGTGTCAGAGTAGCTGACCCCATTAATAATAATTCTAAATCCCAAATAGTCAAGATGTGTCAGAGTAGCTGACCCCATTAATAATAATTCTAAATCCCAAATAGTCAAGATGTGTCAGAGTAGCTGACCCCATTAATAATAATTCTAAATCCCAAATAGTCAAGATGTGTCAGAGTAGCTGACCCCATTAATAATAATTCTAAATCCCAAATAGTCAAGATGTGTCAGAGTAGCTGACCCCATTAATAATAATTCTAAATCCCAAATAGTCAAGATGTGTCAGAGTAGCTGACCCCATTAATAATAATTCTAAATCCCAAATAGTCAAGATGTGTCAGAGTAGCTGACCCCATTAATAATAATTCTAAATCCCAAATAGTCAAGATGTGTCAGAGTAGCTGACCCCATTAATAATAATTCTAAATCCCAAATAGTCAAGATGTGTCAGAGTAGCTGACCCCATTAATAATAATTCTAAATCCCAAATAGTCAAGATGTGTCAGAGTAGCTGACCCCATTAATAATAATTCTAAATCCCAAATAGTCAAGATGTGTCAGAGTAGCTGACCCCATTAATAATAATTCTAAATCCCAAATAGTCAAGATGTGTCAGAGTAGCTGACCCCATTAATAATAATTCTAAATCCCAAAAAGTCAAGATATGTCAGAGTAGTATGGAGATATAACACACAAAAACGGAGTGTACTCTAAATAAACCGCAAAGCGGTTTATGATGAAAGTACACTCCAGGTTTTTGTGTTATAGCTCCATAACATAAAAAATATATTCAAGTCAATCCTTATAATTTAATCTACTATACACAATCCCTGTGGAAATCCACTTTTATTGATGGACTCTTTTCTCTTAGAAATTATTACGCCCTGTATCGGCCAATCAAAAGCGACGTTACAAACGTTAAAATAACAAATATAAAATATAATCCTGACTTTCAGACTATTATGATGTTGTGTGATACACTTAAAAAATGTACTTGTATGTTATGTATAAAATGCTTCCCCGGCCAAAATGTCTTTCCTGTTGGGTATTGCACAATCATACCCTAGTACCGCATTCCTTACAACCTTTCTGGTCCAGGTATTGAGATAACACCGCGAGTTCAACCACTCGTCTACCCTGCGACCAGGTTAAAAAATATTGGCATATTCGTGATCACTAGTATTGGAGGGATCCTCATCGGACATCGGTGTCGGGTCATCAGTCAAATTGTCAATAGTAGGGGCCTCAGAAGTCAGCGTCTCTTCAATGTGTGAACGAGTGTCACTTTGTTTCGGCGCATTGTCGTGGTCTAGCAGTTGATATTGGACATTGTTGTTGTTATTATTGTCAGTTAATGTGTTTAGTTTACATTAAAAACGGCCATTTTTACGTCGGGCTTGCGTGTCGGCCATCACTGCCACGACGTTGTTTACATCGTTACGACAGCTTTTTTCCCCACTCTTTCGCAATTGGAGATTTTCAACGCAAGGGTTCAAACGAAATCTATTCAAGGGAAGATAATATAACAACATTGTCGAAATGGTAATCAGGGGCAGGTGACTATAACACTGAAAAACGACAGTGGAATTCTTTAGTGTTTTGCTCTGCCCAGGACGGGGATCCTTAACTCAGTCGACAGTGTTTATACACAAAGTTACAAGTATATACAGAGCTTCATGTGTCAAGCTTGTTGATTCTGACTAATTGGGTTTTACAGGTAAATCTGACAGGTATCCTTTTATCCTTTATCATCTCCTGATATCACAAGATATGTCAGAGTAGCTGACTCCATGTTTATGTCGCTGATTAGGAAATTAATTCAAAATGATTATAAATGGTATACAAAATTTAGTGGTGAGTGTCCTGTTAACAATATATGTTCTATGTACAAATATCACCCTGGTAAAAACTCAGCAAGGGAGAACCCATTCAGTAGAGCATAATAGCACTAAACCAGAGGTCCTGGGTTCGACTCCTAGCGGAGGCATTGACAAAATAACACGTATGGACCAGTTGATATTGACAAATATACTCAGGGGGAGTATATGTCACCCTGGTAAAATACTAGCTGCTTCCTACCGCTAGTGAGAATTTCGACAATATTATTCGAAAATAACGACCTCTGTTACACAAATATAGGTTTGAGTGATAGGTTATGCTGTTGTAGGTTTTACACTTCGAGGTGAATGATGGCATTCTATATAAAACTACTGAACTCTACACCAATGACGGAAGTGTTCTCTCCTCGTCTACAGTAGCCTCCCTTTATGGAAATCAAATGTTGATTGGAACCATCTGTCACAAACTACTGCACTGCGAGGTGAGGACGCTGTGAAAGTCCTTATGAAGATTCCAGGACCAAGGTGCTCAGACCAGTGGTAACAATGAGGAAATGTTTAGGACTCGGTTTCAGAGAAATATCAAATATTTGTTCTAAAGTAATTTTTTCATCTTAAAAAATCAATAGTATCCAAGTTTTGTACATTTTTAGGGCTTTACTGAAAAATATTTTAGAATATAAACAAAATAATAAGACATCTTGTTTCTAATGAAAAAAAATATAATTATGAAAGAATTATTTTCACATTTATTTCTACATATACTGGTAATAATATACTTTAATATAAATCATCAGTACATACATTCTTATATCGATAATTTGTGATTTTATTTTCATTCACAAAAGCATTAGAAACATTCTACTGTTTAACAGTATTGGAACCAGAAGCAGTGAATGCAAAGGGAAATGCTTCAAAATATTGTCTGGTTTGAAAATGTTATCAAATATTGTCAGGTATTAGAGCATTGTGCCATTTCGACTTTAATACACCTGTATACCCTTATTATTCTGTGATAAATTTATTAGATCTTGCCCCAGATCCATAGATAAATAACAGGGAATCATTGTCCCTCCTCTGTACTCATCTTTAAATGTAAATGACATAGACATTTTTTAAATAACAATTATGAGTCAATATGCTTAATGTTTACCTTCTTATGTATACTGACCATACTGAGTTATTCAGTGAAAGTATAGATGGTCTACACAAAATATTGGACTCTTTTAAGTAATTATACTGATAAATTGAATTTAAAACCAAATGATACAAAAGACAAAAAGTTTTGTCTTCAAGGAGGGTGGTATTTTCAAGCCATGTGAAAGATATTTTTCTAAAGATGTATCTGTTGAAGTACTGCAGATATTTCCTTTGATTATTCATAATTTTGTTTCATTATGTCTTCTTTCTTCAAGCTTGTTGTACAACTCTTGTCTGTAAGGAATAATAGGACTCAGGCATGGCCTGGAGAGAGCGCAGCTCGTACATTTGTTTCGATAGTATACTCTATTTTTTTAATCATAACATTACCCATTTTAATACATACAAAATTTACCTGTAATTGGTTTTTTTAGCTCACCTGGCACGAAGTGCCAAGTGAGCTTATGTCGTGGTGCGGCGTCCGTCGTCCGTCCGTCGTCCGTCGTCCGTCCGGCGTCCGGCGTCAATATTTTACTTTAAACGACTTCTTCTTAATAACCAAAAGGCCTAGGGTGATGATATTTGGCCAGAAGCAAACTGGAATGAAGGGCTACCAAGTTTGTTCAAATAAATGACCTTCATCTATTTTCAAGGTCACAGGGGTCAAATATGTTAAAAAATTTAAACAACTTCTTCTCAATAACCAAACTGCCCAGGGAGATGATATTTGGTCAGTAGCATGCTAGGGTGAAGTGCTACCAAGTTTGTTCAAATGAATGACCTTCAATTATATTCAAGGTCACAGGGGTCAATTGTCTTAAAAAACCTTTAAATAACTTCTCCTAAATAACCAAAATGCCCAGGGTGATGATATTTGGCCAGTAGCATGCTGAGATGAAGGGCTACAAAGTGTGTTCAAATGAATGACCTTCACCCATATTCAAGGTCACAGGGGTCAAATATGTTAAAAACTTAAAACAACTACTTCCGAATAACCAAAATGCCCAGGGTGATGATATTTGGCCAGTAGCTAGCTGAGATGAAGGGCTACAAAGTTTGTTCAAATGAATGACCTTCACCCATATTCAAGGTCACAGGGGTCAAATATGTT